AGTGAGTAAAACTTAATAAAGTCATTTTTTTCTTCAAGGCCTAAACTTGGAGAGGTAACAATTTAAAAATAAACCTACTTTACACTTATATTTATAGTGATTTAACAGTTTCCTTGTAGCAAAGATTTACTTTTCCTGGCAGGGAAAAAGGAAAAGAAAAGATATTAATAGATATGCCATAGTAAGAAATATGTATATAAATTCCACTGACGTTAAACGCTTATGATGAAAACAAAAATCTTCATTGCCAATATCACTTCGGTGGGAGCTAATTTTAACGATTTCTATTCTAAGGTTGTTACCGTCACAATTCTCAATATTTAAAAAATCAAGAAATAGAGGTATAAGTATGCCTTATTATTTACTGACTACCATCTATGAAGGAAAGTTGTTAATTTATATTACCTTACAACATTTAGTTCTTCCCAATTTTTGATGAGTATATCATGACTTTTCAAAAATTCTGCACACTACCTTTATAACTTTAAATAATATATCTTAGTCCCTTTCTATTATTGTCATCCTTAGGCAATATCTCATAATCCTACAGGAAACTTACATGCCTCCATACGCTTCCCTCAGTCAACTTTTCTCTCTAAAGATTTGTCACCTCTATGTTTATTTTTACATCTAAGACATTAAAAATATGCACATTCTATTCTGTACGCCATAATTCATTCTTCTACAGTTCAACCACAGGTTAATTCCAAAATTTGAAGAGCAATAACTATTTTTAAACATCATTTATAAATTTTAAAAGGATTCTGGGAATGTATCAATTGTGGGCCAAATCTAGACTTCAATTTCAGAAAGAAATTGAAAGATCAGAAATCTTCTTTAAGGCGGTGAGTTGTGGTAAGTGTTGAAAGAAAAGGAGTAATGTCATCAACAGCTAGTGTTGGGCTCTGAATACAATATGGACCAAAGACCTGAGGCTGCTCAGGTCTGCAACAAAGCCAGACGTTTCCTCATTGTCTTTATGCAGTGTGGTGTGTAGAACCAACGCTAGCTAGACTCAGCGCCAGCAGAACCATCCACCATTTACAGTTCTGCAATTCTGCCCATTATTTCCCTCTGGGAGCTTCTTTTGTCTCGCCTGAGAAACTAGGCTGATCATGTTTACCTTATGATGGATGCTGTGTGAGGATTAAATGAGACAAGGAATATGAAAGTCTTTTGTGAACTATAAGTGTTTTACAGATGTTATATACTGGATCATTTCATAGTAGAAAGAGTTTGATTCCCAAGGGTATTGAGATATGATGGATGAAATTCTGAAAACACTTTTTTGGGCCCTGAATTGGGAGTAGCAGATCTGGGTTCTTGTCCTTGTCTTCCATATGAGCAATGAGACATTTCTAATTTTGGGAGTTCAGAGTTTCTATCCATAAAAAGAGGCTGTTTACTGGGTCTCTTTCATCCATGATGATCAGGAGTTCTTTTTTTAAAATTTTTATTGTTATGTTAATCACCATATATTACATCATTAGTTTTTGATGTAGTGTTCCATGATTCATTGTTTGTGCATAACACCCAGTGCTCCACGCAGAACGTGCCCTCTTTA